GGGTGGGCAGAAGAACTGATCTGCCCCCATTAGCAACACGGAACACGCAGCGTCAGGATCTCAACACGTAGACTGAGCACGTGGGCCTGACGCGATACACTCGCCAAAACGTGGGCCAACATGTTGAGCCAGCACACAACATGTTGGCACGGACGTTTTGAACACGGTGGGTGTTGCGCATCAAAACGGGGGTCTCGAGGCAGCCAAACAGGATAATGCACAAGTGCAGTACGGAGAACTTGGCCTCGGCCCCGAGGACCACCAAGACGGCCCAAGATGGCTCCCAAGAGGCTCCCAAGAGGCCCCAAGAGGCTCCCAAGGAAACCCCAAGAGGCTCCCAAGAGGCCTCAAAACTGCTCCCAAGACGCCCCCGAGAGCGCCCCGAAGAGAGCCGAAGAAACACCCCTGAGAACTCTGACCCGCAACCCAGGCGCGGTGGCAGGATGGGTCGAAAGCCACTAGATCCACCGCGCCCTGTGCTTGTCACAGGGGTGCTTGGCGTGCTAGATCCTACGATCTTTGGTTCTGGCTCTTTTTCCGAAAGAACTCGCTCCAAAAGAACTCCCCCTGGGGCTTCGGCCCGTCCGGCCGGCCACGTGGAAAGGACCGCAACATGTATATGTCAATGCCTTTCCCGCTCCAAGATGGCCCAAAATGGCTTCTAATCTAAGACGGCTCAGATGGCAGATGGCCCATGATGACCTTTCTAAGTTCGCCCAAGATGGCAAATTTTGGTCTCCAAGACGGCCCAATATGCCTCCAAGTCCGCCCACGAAGTCTCCAACATGGTCCCAGATGGCCTCAAGATGACCGAAGACGGCCCATGTGGCCCCCAAGAGGTCTCCAAGACGGCCTACGAGGCCTCCAAGAGGTCCTCCAGGACGGCCCGAAGAGGCCAGACGAAGCCAAAATCATGGATGTTCCGTAGGTTATTGAATGAGCTTGGCATTTGCTTCTTGGTCGGTCCTCCGATGCCCCGAGACGGCCCAAGAGCCCCCAAAGATCGCTTCAAGATCGCCAAAGAAGCCTTCAGAATGGCCCCCAAGACGACCCAAGATGCCCCTAAGACTGCCCCAAGAGGGCCCCAAGACGGCCCAAGAGGCCTCCACGACGCCCAAGATGGCCTCCAAGAAGGCCTCCAAGCACCCCAAGAGGGCCCCAAGTCGGCCTAGAGAAGCCCCCAAAACGGCTTCCGACGGCGTCAGACGGGCCAGGAATGCCCTAAGACGGCCAAGGAGGCCCCCGAGAAGCCCCCAGAGGCCCCCGAGAGGCCCAAGGAGCCTCCCAAGATGGCCTCCAAGACGGCCCTGGTGCACCCGATGAGGGCTCCAGGTCGCCCCAAGGAGGCCCTCAAGACGGCTTCCGAGGGCGTCAGGCGGGCCAGGAGGCCACCAAGACGGCCCAAGATGGCTCCAAGATGGCCCAAGACAGCCCAAGAGGCCCCCAAGAGGTCTCCAAGACGGCCCAAGCCCTCCAAGAGATCCCCCAGGAAGGCCCGAAGAGGCCCAAATCATGGATGTTCCGTAGGCTGTTGAAGGATTGTGGCATTTGCTTCTGTGCGGCCTTCCGACGGCCCGAGACGGCCCAAGAGCCCACATAGGTCGCCCCAAGATCGCCTTCGAGGCCTCCTCCAAGAGGGCCACAGAACGACCCAAGAGGCCCGCAAGCCGGTCCCAAGCGGGCCCCAAGACAGCCCAAGATGCCTCCAAGTCCGCCCAAGAAGTCTCCAACATGGTCCAAGATGGCCTCAAGATGACCGAAGACGGCCCAAGAGGCCCCCAAGAGGTCTCCAAGACGGCCTAAGAGGCCTCCAAGAGGTCCTCCAGGAAGGCCCGATGAGGCCAGAAGAGGCCAATATCATGGATGTTCCGTAGGTTGTTGAATAATTTAGAAGGCCCCAAGTCGGCCTAGAGAAGCCCCCAAGACGGCTTCCGACGGCGTCAGACGGGCCAGGAACGCCCTAAGACGGCCCAAGAGGCCCCCGAGAAGCCCCAAAGGCCCCCGAGAGGCCCAAGGAGGCCCCCAAGATGGCCTCCAAGACGGCCCTGGTGCACCCGATGAGGGCTCCAGGTCGCCCCAAGGAGGCCCTCAAGACGGCTTCCGAGGGCGTCAGGCGGGCCATGAGGCCACCAAGACGGCCCAAGATGGCTCCCAAGAGGCTCCCAAGAGGCCCCAAGAGGCTCCCAAGGAAACCCCAAGAGGCTCCCAAGAGGCCTCAAAACTGCTCCCAAGACGCCCCCGAGAGCGCCCCGAAGAGAGCCGAAGAAACACCCCTGAGAACTCTGACCCGCAACCCAGGCGCGGTGGCAGGATGGGTCGAAAGCCACTAGATCCACCGCGCCCTGTGCTTGTCACAGGGGTGCTTGGCGTGCTAGATCCTACGATCTTTGGTTCTGGCTCTTTTTCCGAAAGAACTCGCTCCAAAAGAACTCCCCCTGGGGCTTCGGCCCGTCCGGCCGGCCACGTGGAAAGGACCGCAACATGTATATGTCAATGCCTT